CCTTAATGTACAGCCGTAGCTACCTAGAATACCATCTACATGTATGATGTGTATCAAATAAGAACTTACAACATCCACCTAAGGCTCTGATGTAGCTCTGGGTCTACTCCTTCTATATCATCAAGTGTGATAGGCTTATTGAGCAACATTTTATAGAAAGGTAGAGTGAAGCCACCATCTATATAGTGTCCATGAAACACTGCCAGCCCCATAATACGCCCCACAAAGTGGAAATATGAGAGATGCTCCTAAAATGTAAAGTAATTTATTAAGATACAATAACTCTTTAACTATGGGGCTACATGCATTGCTCCAACTACGTAACCACCAAAGTATCCATGACAGTAGTTGTATTATAACTTTTGATATTATAGGTGTATCTTCATGAAATTTCACAGATTATCAGTAAACATTAAAAGGCTTTTGTATGCAAAATATCAGGTTAAGTTAAAGATTTGATTTTAAGATTAAAAATACTTTTCATCTGAAAATTGTCAAATCTCATTTGTATAGTCTCTATAACCTCCTAAATAAATATCAAACACTTCTTTAGAAAAGTTAATATTTTATATATTATTTTCTCTACCTTACCTCTATAAAGGGTTGGCCTAAATTAGCCTTTTTTTCTTTCTAGAATGACTGCAAATTGTAACAGGTAACCACAAATGTTTACTCTAAATACCTTACATCTCGTAACAGTATACACCTATTTATATTAATTAATTTTTTTTTGTTTTATTGACCTTTGAACCATGTCTATCTAATAATCCCACCACACAAGTTGTAAATAATGTGGCACACGTGCAGCTCACATTATTGTATTGAACAGTGACAATTCAGTTACCATACATTATACATTCTTACTGTTTACAAATACATTCTTCAGTTTCAGTTATTTTCCTTGAAACATGGAACAGTAAATAAAAAATATGTAGAAAACAATGATCTCTACTATTTATGATGTTACAAAGTTTTTTGTACTCGTGTATCATACTTGATAAGCCTTGCTGAATTTTGCATGTGAAAGATGCAAAATAATAATTTTGTAGGTTATATATATATACATTTTGAAATAACAAAAAATTAGAAATTACTAAACCTGTACAACAAAATTCCATTGTAATTTATCTGGCTTCCTGGCTTAGCTATATTTTGGTCTAAAAAATATCATTTCTGATCAGCACATTGTTTCGAACACGAATCTTCAAATTCACCAATAATCGGTTATAACAGCTTCACCTGTGGAATTACTTTAGAAAAACTGACAGGATTACATAGTTCAAAATGAGCACTTTTCATTGGTTATAAACATGTACTTAAGAAAAGTAGGTATAAGTAAACAAGTATTTTCAAAAGAGGAAGAGGTGGGTGGAGACACTGTGGTAGGAGGTTATATTCTAGCGTGTTAATATTGGTAATTTGTATTTCTAACTCATTAAAAACTGTAGACTTTAACATTCTATAATGCTCACAATACAATCTGAGCAAAAGCAAAAGGCAACGTACCATGTGTCACACAAAAAAATTTATATTTAACCTTTTTTTATTACTTACTTTTGAACCAAAAAACTAACTAATGTATAATACTAAAATCTGAATTACAAACTACAAAAAAATTTATATTTAACCATTTTTTAATACTTACTTTTGAACTAAAAAACTAACTAATGTATAATAATCGGTTTAAAACATTTAATTCTTGTTGTAATAAGACAAGTTATGCTGCTTGTAATACAGAAATGTACATATTCCAGTTAGTTTTGTTTTTGTTTTAGGAGCTAGGCATAGTCTAGTGGTTATCATGTTGGACTATGGATCTGGAGATCCATGGTTCATATTCCTTTTCTGCAAAATTGTGCCCTACACTTAGGGACTTTGGGTGCATTATAAGAGTGACAATAAAATACTATTATTTCATTACAGTAGCTTAATAGTTGGTGTTGTTGACAAGCTCTCCTTTCTCTAGTCCATCAGCTCAAAATTAGGAATGGCTAGTACAGATAAACAATTTGTAGCTTTGGGTGAATATTTAAACCAAAAAACAATTTTACTTTGGAATCTGTCTTCAGATTCACAAACCATAGTTGTTGGTTTTGTTTGGTATGTTATTAACCCTTTCCATACGGGTAGGGGTCAGAGCATATGTCATCACATTTTACAGACTTAAATTCAAAATTGTATTAAACTACTGTTTTATGAATTTATGTTCATAAATTTGGAATCAAATTGTAGTTTGTAATTCAGATTTTATTGATCAAGAGCAAGAATTATTATAAAAACAGTAGTGGCCAAAAAAAAACACTAAATCATACTACACAGACAGAAGGAAAATATCAAATGAAAATCCAAAAGAAATTTTATTGATAAAATACTACTGTCTCAGTTGCGGAAACATATAATGATTGAATTTATTTGCAAGTTTTAACTAGAACAGAGAAGACAGGAACTTACTGGATTGACAGAAGAATCTGGGTTGACCTGTAGCGTGTAGATGTCATCTCTGGTGTACTGGAACAGTCCGTAGTAGGGATTCAACATTTCATGTGACAACAAGTACAGCCATTCCCTAAGAAACATTCATAGTTAATTAAGGACTCCTAACCAGTTAACCACATTTATATGATGTTGACTGGGTAAACCAGAACATCCACCGGTGTAATAATAATAGTTATAGCTAATGAATAAATTTTACAGATTTCTATAAACAGACCACTACCGCATGTGACTGCATTTACTATACATAAGCTTTAAATCTTATAGAACAGTGTTTCTCGACCACTGGGGGCCCGGCATGGCAAGGTGGTTATGGTGTTCAACTCACAATCTACAAGTTGCAGTTTCGATTCCCCGTTCCACCAAACATGCTCATCTTTTAAGCTGTGGGGGGGCCTTATAATGTGACAGTCAATCCCATTTTTCTTTGGTAAAAAGAGTAGCCCCAAAGTTGGCAGTGCGGGGTGAGGACAAGCTGCCTTTTCTATAGTATTTCTCTGCTAAAGTAAGAACAGGTAGTGCAGATAGACCTCATGTTGCTTTAACCAAAATTTAAAAAACCAAATCAAAAAGCAATTTTTTAAGACAAATATTTTTCCAATACAGGGGAGAAGAAGGATTGGATTATGGAGGAGTAGCGAGGTAATAATATGAAAAAAGTAAAATAATTTAGGGTTTGGGTGTAGCCTAAAGTACTTGTCTGTAAATCAGAAGGTCAAGTTTTTTCAGCTGTTCAGATGCTTTAACCATTGAGGTCATTCCTGCTATATGATAAAGAGTAGCCACGTGGGTGTTCCAGACTGGTTTCCATCAGTCTAATTCGCAGTTCAAAATTAGGGAAGGTTATACTTTAACCTGAGAGGTTTCTGATCTGTCTGATTATCCCATGTATTGCATTAGGTACCATTGAGGATGAAAATACCAATTATAGAATGGAACTCAAAACACTAAACATGAAATGATCGATGTTATGTAAAGAACAGCTTAAAATGATTATTTAGTGGTTTTTTTTTACCCATTTTATGTTTTAATTGTTGACATTTGCTAATTGATTGGTTCTTTACAGTGCTAATACTAGTATTGTATTATTACTTTGCTAACAGGTTTTGTTTGTATATTTTGTATTTTCCTTAACCTTTGTGTATTTTAATTTTTAAAAGTGTAATTAATATAAGGATATTTTTTTTTCAGGAGTCATATCGTTCAGTCATGAAAATGAGATCAAAAGACTTGAGAAAAAGGCTGATGGTGAAGTTGTAATAATACAATACTAGTATTAGCACTGTAAAGAAACCAATGAATTAGCAAAGTAATAATACAATACTAGTATTAGCACTGTAAAGAAACCAATCAATTAGCAAAGTAATAATACAATACTAGTATTAGCACTGTAAAGAAACCAATGAATTAGCAAAGTAAAATACAATACTAGTATTAGCACTGTAAAGAAACCAATGAATTAGCAAAGTAATAATACAATACTAGTATTAGCACTGTAAAGAAATCAATGAATTAGCAAAGTAACAATACAAT